TCCTGCTGCCAGTGCTGCATTCCGCCAGAGGTAAAGCCAAGGTGCCTGCATGAAGTTCAGACATGTAGTGAACTGAACACATAGCTTAAATGCATCTTGTCTCACAGCTTTCTACAGGCACATAACATCTCAGCTGCACATGAAGCCTTTCCTACCCCATGCTAAACAACTTCTTTGTTACAGACTCACCCTACTCAATCACCAGCTCAGTGCCATACAACCCAGAAAGCCAGGCTGTTACTGTCCAGCCTACCTGAAACCTCTGAGAGAAGTGAAATAAACCAATACAGAAAGCACACATAAGGACTGTCCATACGTGATTTTCTGACCTTGCATGGTAATCTATGCAGATTACAGCTGAAGCCACCCCTGCTTCATTAACTTCCTGGGACAGCAGCCAAAAGCTTAGTCTATCCTGCAGAAAACTTCTGCCCTCTGTGCTTCACATCAAAAAATGTCAAATACAAAGGTCTTTGCTGCCCAAGTAGGTCTCCCTCTGCATACTTTCACTAAAGGCTTGTTTAGCTTGTGACAAAAATTACAATATTCAGTGCTGATTTACATTTTTAAACAGAGGTAGTCAAGTTGCCACCCTTACACATTATCCCAGCACACAACTTGCTGTTCATGCTGTGTTGTTCACTGGGACTAAAAGTCAGTACACAGTTTCTGGAAACTTGTGAATGGTTGGAGTTTGTTGTCCAAACATGCTTAAAATTCCAGTTCCATCTATGTCCTATTCTTGGCAATTGTTTTTATTTCATTAATTTTCCTTTTCTGCTCAGAGTTGATTTACATTATTTCAGGCTTGAAACAAACCCAAAACTGGCAAGAAGAGAACAGTTTTTGAGCCAGACAACTAAAAAGATTTTTGCTGATATCTGGCAAATTAAGTGTGAATAGAAACTTCATCTGAAATTATACTAACACCTGAGAAAAAGCCATAAGCATAAATTAACCACTAGCTAAACACCAAACTTACTTTAGACATTGTGATCCTGCCTTCCTGGTATTTGTTTCTGGGCTCCTCCTTCCCTTCCGTTCTTTGTAATTTTTTATTTTTAATCACAGTTCTTCAATTATAACAACAGCTTGAGCTAAAGTTCTTTTATTTCACTCTCACATGAAAATACAGCTGCAAAATACAACAAGCAAAAGGGAAGCTTTAACAGGTCTCTTTACAAAGAATAAGCAGTTGCTAAGTCATCCTTTTCTTACTCATTCCCACTAGACCCAAACCTTTTCTTTTCAAATATTTTTTATTTTGTGATATCATTATTTCTTCAATGGATCTACAAATAATATTGAACCTGGGTATCCTCCATCTTCTTCCCCCAGGTTAACAAGATGTTAAACACACACCCCTCAAATTTGCACTTTCTCCCATTCAAAAATAACCTACCCTATTAAACTGGGATGTTGTTTATCTAGAACAGCCTTGCTCTTACTCTGTGCTTCCTCAGAACCAGTATCAAGTTGCTGTGAAAAGCAAATTAAAGAAAATTATACCACTATCCATGCCAACAAACACTGTAGTTAGTATTAAAACTGGACCCTTTTTGTTTTGCTGTCTACTTTTATTCTAGTGAAAAGTATTTCTTGGCACAGTTTAAGTTCCAATGGCAAATATTTCAAACTTCTCACAGAAACAATTGCTAATTATTCTTTAGAAGACAGCTTCACAGTGACAACTTGCAAAGAGAGTCTAAACTCATTAAATAAACTATTCATGCCTCAAGTAAAAGTGTCCATACAAATAGTTGTCCTTATAACAAACTGAAGATGTCTTTCCATTGATTCAACCACTCAGAAAAAAAATAATTTCAATCTCTTGGTCTTTCCCATATACCCAAATAGCAACAAGGCCAGTCTCACCCATTCACAACACTGCAATACACATGGGCATATTTTAATTAATGAGTATAAACCTATGTAGGTGCCTGAAAAAAAAAAATAAACTAACGAAGGAAAAAGATTATTTTTTTTCACCTTCTAGAAGCCTTCATATTAGGATAACATACCTGCCTTTGTATCTCAGGTTAAAAAAACCCTGAGATGCTGACCTGCAGTGCTGTCTAGCTTCACGTCAACAAGGCATTATCTTCCACATCTCCCTCATGAGCTGGAGACACATTTTTCTGTGGAAAATCAATTTTGAAAGCAGAAGACTTGGACTTGTACAGTTCCATTTCCCATCAATAAAAAACTATTACCTTATATACAATGATACATAGGGATTTCAAGGACAAAAGGTCAAAGCAAATAATTTTTTAACATTTTATTGATGAACAGCAGAAAACACAACTATTGTTTATCATACTGCTGGATGGAGTATCAATTTGTACTTGTATTAATCAACTTTTGCTCATGTTTCCACTGTGGAAGCTGCTGTTCTGAAAATAACCCAGGAATATTGTGTCACAGTCATGGACATGACCCTGAGAAAGACTGAGGATACAGAGGAGTGTGGTGGGAGCAGCAGAGGGATCTGAGGACTGCAACTTCAACTACAGCCACAGCGTAAATCGTCAGTGGCTATTTTGTGCTGAGCCATCTGTTGCCTTGAACTGCCAGCAGCAGTTTAAAGATAGCTGGAGTACGTCTATACCAGCTACAGGAAATGATAACTTCTGTGCTCTTTGGAAAGAGCAAGATCAAACTTACATCACTGCAGATGGACTTATAATGACTCTGTCTTCCCAGGAGCAAGCTTTGTCACCAGGGAACACATAGTGACCTGCAGAAGCAGAGGCTCGCTGAACTTTTGTTCTATGTCCTGGTGGGCACATCCTTTATTATTTTCTTCAAATGTTATTCCTCTATCTACATCACAAGTAACTTATAAGAGCCCATGACTGTTAACATTCTGTATTAGCCATCCGTGTTATCAGTGCCTTTTTTGTCAAGTAGACAGTCTATATAATTGTTTTCAGTCGAGAAATGATCTTGTAACAGAATGAATTACAGATCTGTAGATGAAGATTTGAAATGGTGCTCCACAGACTGCTTTCCATCTTCCAGAACTTTGGAAATGCGCTGTAAAAACAGAGGAACAGAGTTAAAACAACTGCTGTATTGGTTGGATTCAGTAATGTGGGTTTTAGTTACTAGCTGGTGGCTTTATGCTGTGGCTGGAGAAAAGAGACCTTGACCAAATCCTGGATATTTTGAATTAATTTCTCTAACCTGCAAAATCACAAAGCCTTTTTCAACCTGTCCACATGATTCCCATCATGCTGAGAAGCACTACACAAATGCATTTTTAGCTTTATTCAGTCCTTTTCCAGACTAGTAAAAAAGGATATTTTGTTCTCCCTATTTTATATGCTGTCTAGGTTTAAATGTGAGTAGATGAGGTCATGCTGAAAAGCTGTTACTCCTGGGTCTGAAAAGAACAAGTACATGATAAATTGAATATAAGTGAAATCCTACAGACTTAAAATTAATAGGGTATTCTTGTTCCTACCAGAAAAATGTTATTATGAACACAACTAAATGCAGATTTCCCTAAACATTGCTGTATGGTCCCTGTAAGCATTATCTACATTTTTTAAAGACTGCAGGAAATAATGGATGACAATGAAACCTATTGTCAGGAAAATAAAAATAATTTTAAAGACTATAAATCAACCTTTGCTTAGAAAATCGCTGACATGTAAAATATTACAATTGTCACAGGGTGCCTATGAAGTATGCATATCAGTAGCTGCCAGCACTAAATGTCACCCACTACCTGAAAAAACAGGAAAATTCTGAAACTTTTGAATCTCAATATCTGCACTGAATATACTTTTTTTGTTTTTTGCTTTCAAACACTACATTAAAGTTTCAATTTTGTGAAATTACCACAGAAGCCAGTGAAAGGTTTCCTAATTTAAAGGAAGGCAACTTGTTTAAGCAACATTAATGACTCCAGAAAAAGCCAACTTCTGCTTTCCAACAAGCATCTCTGACCACAGAAACAGACTCACACTGTGCAAGTGTTGCCATCTGTGCTGTGCTTACTTAGCTCTGTTGCCAGTGCTAACTGCTCAAGTAATCATCGCGAACAAGAAGGAATTGCTTCCTCTTTCGCTCAGGTTATACAGGGAAAATCAGAGAAAATCAGTAGTTCAAATGAGCCCTCTCGTGGCACAGATGCAGAACTGCCCCCCTGAGCCTGCTTTTTAACACCAACTACATGCCTACTGTAGAAGCACAGCCAGAGGCAAATTTTTGCTTCCCCACAGGGCTTCCAGTACTCTCTGACTAGAGAAGGGGAAAAAAAAAATTCTACTTATAATAATGGTATTTTTAAAGGGTTTAATTTTCAGAGCATAGAATTTTTTAAGAGCTAACACTTGCTTTTTCCTCCCCATAAACACACAGAGCTTACCATTGTTTTAAATAACTGGTTCACTTTCTTTTTTTTGGAGGTTTTCTTGTCGCCATCTGTGGTGGAAGGAAACACTGGTTGACTCAGCCTATGTGATGCAATTGTTTCATCAGGTGCCACAGTGCTGACAGACAGAGTTAATCCTTAGGATAGAAACACAGTGGATGCAGAAATTAAAATAAAAAAAGGAGATTCACAGCATGAGACAAAGCAGAATTCAAAATAATCAACTACTGCAATTACTAGGAAGAAATGAGACACTTTAAATCTGATTATACCCTTAGAATACAAAAAATAATATAATTACATCGAAACTGAAGAGTGAAAAATACGAACCAATCTGGCAAAGAACACATGAAAAAAGAAGCAGGCCATCACAGGCTGTTGTGTTGAGCTAAATGTCTGTTACAGGCTTCTGGAAAGACAGGGACAGTCTCTCAAAATGGGAGATGAAGTGTAGGCTAAGGAATGGGGAGTGCTGTGGAAGAAGCAGGGGATAAGGGCCCATTTCCTCTATACCCCCTGGCCTCAAGCTGAGTTCCTTCAGTCACCCTTTCCCCCTCTCTGTATCACACACAACTGTCAGTCTTTCTGGTGGGCAGTTATGTTGTCTTGTTTCCCTTTCCTCTTGCTGTGAAGGAGGCTTATGAGCTTGCTCTCTAATGTCAAAAGCAGAAGTGGAAGCCCTGCTATGGGGCAACCTTTGGGGATATTCACGTGCCAAAGCAAAGCACAGATCATGTGTTCCTGTTTGACGTGCTGCCCTCAACTGTGAGGGCAGCCTGCAGAAGCCCTTCCTTCTGCAAGAGAGGCCCTACAAACCAAGGAAGATGAATACACTCGTTCAAGGCAGGGGAAACACCCACACTATAAAAGGAAGCAAAATTTAAGGCTCCAGAAGTAACAGAATTTGCAAGTTAGCACCAGGCAGGGCAGTGCTATCAAGCAGTAGCAGCCTCAGATGCAGAACACACACCTCAGGTGTGATCTTGGTCTCAGAGCCACTGAGAGCGACCTGCTCTGCTCACAGCAAACCCTTCACTGCTGTTTTCTTAACATGGCAAGAAAGAAGTGCAGAATTCTTATCTTACTGTAAGCAGCTTACCTGGGATAGTTGGCATAGAACGGCTGACAGAACTCATCTGCTTGAGGACAGATGTTTTCTGAGGTGCCACTACATGTTCTGAGAGGTTGGTGTCACTCATGAACTCGTATTTCCTTGACAGCTGTTTCAATTAAAAAAAAACCCACAAACAAAACCATTAATGATGAAGTGACATATGAGCAACAAAGATCTAAGCAAAATATTGTTTTGTGAAAAGCCCAGAATACTTAATAAACAATCATACCTAACCTAAGTTATGTATGGCTGTGTTCACTGAGTAAACAATAAAAGTACCTAGAAGCAGTAGAATTTGGTCCACATATAATATTATACACTAGCTAAAAATATGTTATGATTTTGTAGATTATTTATAGTTAGAAAAAAATATTCTCATTCTACATAGAAAAAAAACACTTCTCTAAAAAAGTTAGCTAGAAGAGATTCTATCATCTGGAACTGTAGGATGGTATTCATACCATATCTTTGGAATAATTCTACCAGCCTGCTCTGACTGTGATCTGCCAAGGAAAGCAGACTTTGGAAAACATTTTCCCCTACTGCATTAACGTAGCTAGAGCTTGTCTGCTTCAAGGCTTGTCAACATTTTTCTGAAGAAAAATGAAATCCTGTAACTCACTGCCTGGTGCAATTCCCACAGTTAGGAATATGTGTTATTTAACTTAATCACAAGACAAAGATGTTGCTTGGTTTTGTATGTTATCATTCCTCAGAGCATGACTGTGCTTTATCTGTCTCTCTTGTATGAGTACATGTAGTGTAAAACAAGCATCAGCCTCCAGAAATTTCTCCTTGTTTCCCAAAAGAATCTTAGAATGCACTTTGCCTTTGACAATTCCTTCAAAAAATTTTGATTAGATCACTTACAGTCTCTCCATGTAATTCAACAATTTGTTATTGCCCAAAAATTTTATCTAGGACTTGTGTAACAACAGGACAACTTTTAATTATTTTTTACTAAAAGAAGAAATGTCTTCTGGGAATTATTATTTTTTTTTTTTAAAAAAGCATACTGTAAGTTCTATAAGTCATTCTAATGATGTAGCAGTGCAATAAAAGCACTCAGATGATGTATGGAGCGAGACATGCCAGTGTTTCCAGCCTTCAGCCTGGCACCATTTAAGGAACACTGTTTGCAATCTTGCAGTTTCCTAACAGCTGCATGTTCCATAACAAGGTACAAAATGTATGGGGCTCATCACTTTTGAAATAGCCCTGACTGCAAAGAGCTGCCATGAAATGTCAGCACAGTCAATTGCCTCTCCACAGGAAAGTGAGTTTAACCCTCCCAATATAGTACTTCATTTTAAGCTAACCAAGCTTCAGAATGTGCAGTTCCAGGGCTATATTATCTGTCATGATAATCTAGTACAGATGTTCTGATTTTTCCATTGATTTGTTTCCTCCTCAGCATCTTGCAGGTTTCATTATGGCAGGGCAGATTCCCTAACTTTGCACCCAGCTTATTTTACATTATGACAGCTAGAGTTCTACATGGTACCTTTTTCTTTTCCTAAGCAAAATAATAATGTGGATTATAAAATACTACTCTAAATCACTAACATACACATTTCATGTCAGAGACAGAAATATCAGGTGCTGTTTTCTCATCAGCAAACACCACACTGCTCCTTTTTGTTCTTTTTTTGGATCTTCTCATCTTTACTTCAGGGTGAGGATTAATTTGCAGAGCAGTCTCCTCTGATTCTGCTTTTACTGGCTTTGGTAGCACTGCTTCCAGATCAAAGCTGCAGGAGCAAAAGAAGAAAGTACAAGTTGCTAAGTGATATTTTAAAAGCCACCAGTATTCTGATGTCATTTCCTCATAAAATATAAATGCAGGTCATCCTTTCCTTTGACTTTCTATGCAGCCTTGCAAACTTAGCAAAAAGTATATGATGTGCTTCAGCTAGCAACTGTAGATACTAAGAAGATTTCTTCAGGAGGTATGAGATAAAATTCCTTCAGGAGGTATGACACTGTCTTAAATTGTTGCAAAGAATGTAAAAGATTAATTAAGTGCAAATCCCTTTTAAAAGATTTGTGCAGTAGCTTAAGAACTCCTAGACTAAACACAGAGCTCACCTGAGAAGTTTATGCATGATGATGATGGTGCTGAAAGCAAGACATGCTACTTTTGGTTGCTGGAAACAATGGAAAAGAGTATTGCTCTTTAATGTCATGTTTAAAACGCATCTTCCTGTTTCTTTCACCGTATTGAGCAGCAACACACAGACCCAGCTTTTGGGAAAAAAAAAAATCTCCCTCCCTCTCTTCCTCTAACTTTTATAGTTTAAAAATAGAGCTTTTTTTTCAGTAAAAATCCCAAACAAATGTGAAACTGATGCTGGCTTTACTCCCTTCTCTGCTGATCTAATCAGCCTATTGAACATGGGGCTGAACTTAGTTTACAATCAAAATTGTTAAACAAGTGGTATGGTGGATTTGTTGACCCAAGCTTCCTGGAAACAAAGTAACATGATGAGAATTAAAAGTAGGTGCATGATCTAGCAGCTTAAGTACAGTTGCCTGGTTCCGTGGGAGACACTGTCTTTAAAAATGAATTGGCAGTCAAACATACAAGAATAGAGAGTTATCTTAAGAAGAAACACTTCCAAGTTAGGGCCATACAATTTTTTTACTTTTTAGTGATTAAAATTGAACAATTCAAGAAGGGAGATCAGATGTTAAAAAAACCCACCACAATAAAACACTGCTCACCAAGATCAATTTTATGAGATCTTGCTGTGTGAGATCAATAGACCTTGTTTGGAAAGAAGTTCTGTGTACTCAAAGGGTAATTTATCAATTGATCAGAATGATTTGTGGATTGAAAAAGCTCATCAATACACCTATACATCAATACACCTGTTCTTTCCAACCTAAAAGTCTCTTCGTTCCCCAGGTCTGCAGTGAAGAACATATATTAGGCAAAGCATTTCACATTACTACAGGCTTCACTAAAACATTACACCTCCTTACTTAGAAGTTTGTAAATGTTTTCCTCTTGCTTTCCATTTTTTATAAACAAAATCATGCTAATTAAGTTTAAAGCTGTATAAAGAGAAACTGAAAATAATTCAGATCATTGCATTTTTTTTTTTTAAATTGATTTAAATTATAAAAATACTTATTTCCTGGAAATGAAATGCCATTTTTTTTCAGTGAGACTTGAGTATATTTTGTCTAAGTTGAAATACTGTAGCTTTAGGCTCAGAGGAAGTGATAGCTACAGTTAAAAATAGTTTCAGCACAGTCTGAACAGACTGCTAATGGTCTTTATCCTTGAATGCCTTTTTTTTCAACCTCTTAGTTTCATTCCATAAAACTGTTTAAAAAACAAGCCTGAAAGTGAAATTTGTATTTCATTCATAACCAACCTTTCTGAAGCAATTTTGTTTGGAGTGCTGCAGTCTGAATTCATGGAAGTCAGTGAAATAACTGACAGCTGACGATAGGATCTCAGCATTGATCTTGGCCGTCCCACTCTCTTATCATCAAAATCTGGCTGCAGGATGAAAAAGAAAAACATTTTCTATCAAAGTACTTATTGTGAACTTCATATAATCCCTCTCACTATGTGCTGAAGAAAGGACAAACATTTTGACATTTGACATGAAAGAAGTAATTTGCTACCATTAATTACTGTGATTTCTTCTTTTGTCTGGATACACTCTAGGGCCTCTCAAACGATGATACAGTGAGTAGCTAAATAAACCACAACTGACATAATTAACTGTGTTTGAAAAAGAAACTAAAATGAACAGTGTCTGCTGATCTTTTGAACATTAAAGTACTTGGGCAAATAGACTTATTTAATCCTTGCTCCAAAACACTAGCCATGCTTGGTCTTCAATACAAAATTAACATAACCTTTTTAATTAGATGTTTGCAGGAGTTGGACCAAATTGGTATTTCCCTAACAGCCAGAGAAGAGGAACAGGAAGATTCTCCAGGTTAAATGCATCATATTGCACAAATGCTGCTCCATGTCTCTCTCTCCAAAGCTTGAAGTTGGTATGTTCTAAAATGGAAGGAGAAAAACAGACATCTCCCTCCAAATCTTCTTGAAGAAGATTTAGTTATCACAGTGGAAATCTAGAGCTTAATGTTGATGGTTATTCAGGCTTTGTAGCCTGGTACAAGGTTAACTGAAAGAATCCAACTTATTTCCAAATGCTCTCCTGTCACTCTTGTTAATAAGGTAGGACAAGGATTTCCTTTTATTGCTAATTCTAGAACTGTTTTCTTTCTTCAGGGGTGACTTGTGGGATCTAAAATTGTAGTGTGCAATCAGCTCTCCTCTTTTGCTGCTCAAGTTGTTTCCTGGGATGAACATGCCCCTCCCTAGTTAGCTCATCAGAGCACCATGTTCTGAGGCAGGGTTTTGAGAATCTCCCAGTGCCTGCACACAAAAAACTAATTTTCCAGCCTACTTCAATTTCTATCCTAGAAATGGGATATGAAGAACTTTTTTTAAAAAAACAGTTCATTTTAAAACACAGGATTTTGTTCTTGTTACCCAGAAAATATTTAAAAATTAGCATAGTTTCCCATGCCAAATTTCAAAATACTCTTCTTCTGATATCATTTCTCACTAAGACTCTGACATCTAGCCAAAGATTTGGAAACATTTGGAATTTCAAGAATTATTTTTTTCAAGTTTTAAAGCCAAGAATGGTCAGAATCTTGTGAGAACGATACAATTGCTGCACAACTTGTCTTTTAATAAAAACTCAGGCCTGCCACCAGTGAGAGTCAGATACAGTAAAATGGCAGTACTGTCATTCACAAAGTACATTCTCTCTTCTGGCTACATTTAAAATAGATTGATTTCTCTTAAGTGCTGATGGGTTCTAGCATCAGGCAAGATTGCTAATTGTGGAGTACAGCCTCTATTATTGCAGGGCTCGTGGCACGACACTGAAAAGAAGAAAAACAGACAGATACATATATAGAATTTTCATCATACAAGTAACAGCACAATATCAAACATCTAGGTTATACACTTGTTACTTTTCCCCTTATAAAGAATAAATAAATCCTCTTATAAAATCATCAATGCTGAAAGCAACAACAAAGTAATTTCCAAAGCAGCTGGTGTTTAATCCCAAAAAAACAGCCAACAAACTTTTTGCTGGGTTGCACAGTAGAATTCAAGAATTATCTGTAGAGTTTGTGTTTAAAAGTGATCCTTCAATTCCCATATATTTCAGTTTGGTCTGAACTCATATTTCTAGCATTATACACTGTAGGTTTTCCTTCACAACACATCTGGAAGTGACTTGCACAGTGAACCATCATTTGGAGCTCAAAGCCCTAAACCACTAAGAAAAATTACAAAGAGGAGAAACATGAGGATTTTCTTTTATGTCCTTAATAGGGCAGGAAAAAAATCCAAGTGTAAGAGACCTAATAAAATACTCCAGATCTTCCAGAATGAGCCATATTTTACATGTCAGAGAATTGACTCAACTCTTTGAATATAAAACTGAGGTCTTACTACCTTCAGGTCACATGAAAAACAACAGGTAACAGATGTTTAGGATGTGGTTTTGTTTAGAAGAACAAGAGAGAGTGCAGGAGAGGTAAAAGGAGAGGAATACCAGTTCTCTGGCTCCATATTGTTTTTCCACTTTAGTTTTTAAATGCTTGAAACATTCCTCCATGCGGTCATGGAAAGGACGAAGATTATCAGAAACTCTTCTTTCATGAATTCTAATTCCAGCCCCAAGGAAAGGTATCTTGAAGAAGGAAAAAAAAAAAAAAAATTAAAAAAGGGAAAACATTAAACTGGGTCTGACAAGTCCTTTAGCTCCATTTAAAGTATCTGCTAAGTCAACTGCAAAATTCATACTGCGATTGGCAGCTTTGTCGGTTAATCTCAGGTTTTAGCAGCAAATACAGGATGGAAAGGGCTCTTGGAAAATGGGCTTGCTCAGTAATTTTTTAACTATGTTGGTTGCCTCCTAGTGAATGTTTTCTCTCTTCTATGTATTTTAATTTCCAGGGTTGGGGCATCTCGTATCTCTCTGGGAACCTTGTTCCAGCATTTCTCCACCCTTACTGTAAAGAATTTCTTTCTTATATCTGAGGAAAAATCCCACAAACAACAAACACCCAACTCTAGAAAAGAGTGTCTGACCTTTGCAAATCCTTGTTTTCCCAGCAATTCATGAAATCCTTGTGACTTGTACCCTAGTCTCAGTTTTGTCTCCAGGACTGCAACATGAGTTAGAAATCCTGGTCCTTTTAACCATAGGTGCAGCCCACAGTATGTGGCTTTTGATAAACCATTCCAAACAATGTGGTCTGCAAAGTGTTTTTCTGACCTTCTGTTTTCCCTTGGACATCAGGAGATATCTGGGTAATTCCCCTGAGTCTGGCAGCATTTAATCCTACTCCTAACAGACACTATAATGATGATACTCCTCAGGAAATAAGATGTGACTTTTGTAATTAAGTAATTTCTGTACTTTCAGCACAGATTTTTTTAAAAAAATGTGAAGGACAGGACCACTTAGATCCCCAAGAATGATTTATCAACCACATGCTACATCAGAGGATAAGAAATAATTGCTATGCTGTTTTGTCAGTGATACTAGTGGGTTAGTAATGGCTCACAGGCTTCCTGTTATGCATATTAAAAGTTCTTTTTCCTCCCTCAGGGAAATTGTTAATATCTAAACAGGATAATCAATAGGTGGTCCTTTTACAACTACACATACTCTGAAACAGAAGGTTTAGTCTATGAGAGCATATTTTACCATGAGTCCCTTCTCAAAAATGGCTAAGAATTCACCACAGAAGAACTCAGGAAGTGTGTAACAAGCACCTTCTTCTTCTACCCTTCCCTGATTTAGGGAAACGGTAGGAAAACAAACAAAAGGACCCACAAAAAAAACCCAAGACAAAAACCTCATCAAATGGCACAATCATCTGAATGCTGTCTTTTCCTGCTAGAAAGGAACAGAAAAAAGGAACAGCAGCTGAAGCCTCAGGTGACTGCTGTCAGTAAGAACTTACTTGCCAAGCAATTAGATCTTTGAGTCTGTTCAGCTTTTCTTGATCCTCTGGATGGTCTCTGATATAATCTTCGGTAAAGAAAGCCTTAATAAAAAATAATTCAGTCCTTAATTTTTGACAGGTAAAGAAATCAGTGATGACACCATTGACTCCAGCTGGTGACCATTACATTCAGTGGTCAACAAATAAGACAGATATGCTCCTTAACCGGTTGCTGTCAATGATAACTCCTTATGCCATCAACTGAGAACTGAATTGCTCTTTTTAGTTAAAATACATTCAGTTCTTAACACTTCTGAGTTTGAGACCCTGACTATGAAACCAAATTGTTTGTTTTGTTAAGCTTGCACTAAAAATAAAAAGGCACAAATTTGTAGTATCATGATTTTCAGTGATCAAGTCCCCTACTTACTGACATTAGCCAGTGTTATACAATAAGGAACTTTCACTGATAAGCAGAGCCAGACATTACATACACACTGCCTTTTGCTGCCCAAAGATTTTATCCCCCAGGTACAACAGAAGAATGTAACTATTTATCCACAATGGCCAAATATCTCAATAAATGATACTTTAGGACTAATACTAATACTCCTCCAGAATGTGTCATGCTTCTTGCATATAATTTATGTGTAAATATACACCTATATATAAATATTGCATCTTTCCAGCACTATCTGAGTCTATCTGGCATGTTGAGCCTACTAAGCATGGCACATGCTTTTCTTCAGGGAACAGGAGGTAAAAAATGCAAGAGCTCTACAGCTGCGGGGTAGCCTTACATTAATTTTCTTTCAAAACAAATGGTCTGAATTTATGTTTTTAACATTCCTACTTTCTCTCCTGCTCTGCTTTCACAAGGCAACATTAGGGACAGATTTTCTACAATTCAGTTCCTCAAGACATGCAATTTTCCACGTATTGCCAGAACATTTTTTAACTTGTATTCTCGTTTTTTAACAAAAGCTACTATGAGAATGGCTGCAGTCACTGAGAAAACCTGATGATGATTTAATTGATAACCCACATGTAAATACCCCAGACCTACTGCAGGTGAGTTTGAATCATTTATTACAGACCAAATATTTTGGTGTGTGAAAGTGAGAGCCTATTTCATGACAAAGGGGTATCTCAGCTTAAGTGTATCTCAAAATCCTTATAACTGCTACTCATATTGAGCTTCAGTTGCTCTGGTTTGTTCGTTTCTGCTTTCACAGACAGCTCTGACCAGGTCATGAGGATATTTTTAATCAGTGGAATTCTGGCTTTCCTACTACCATCCCACATTCCACTGCCACTTTGAACAAAAGATGTAGGAGGACTGTGAAATAATAGATCTGAATATGTTCATTGCATTAACTTAAAAGCTCTTACCTTCTCATATTTAGCAAAGCCACCCATAACAGCTGGATCAACAATTCCATTCAGAAGCATAGAAAGTGGATTAATAGGAAGGTTCTCATCACTTTGGTATTGGTTAATCATCATCAAAATTTTTTCATTTGTTGTGGACATAGTCTCAATAGCATTCTCTAAGGGACTAATGGTAGTCTACAAAGAAACAAAAGACTTCTAAGGTTTATAAACAGATAAAAAGGTCTTTTTGGTTTTACAAAACATCATGTATATAAAAAAACATTCTTACAATTCATCAAATGAAAAGAGATTTGTCCAGTCTCTTAGGACTTGGTCCTGAAACTGTAAATTAGATGTAAGGTCTATTGATGGCAGCAGAAGAAAGATAAAACAGATAATAACAGTTTTGTATGTATAAAAAAAAGTAAATAACAATAGCCCTGTGTGATACAGTTCCAAACTATTTTGTACAGGAGGACCCATACTGATACATGTTTTACAGGTTTTTAGCCTGTTAATACACACCTGAGACATGGAGACAACTTCAAACCATCGTAAAATTCCAGGAAGTTTGTATGCTGTAACAAATGATGTTCTCTCAATCCACATAGACTATTAAAAAAACATAGCAGGGAGAAAATGATACTGCAGGATTTAAAGTTTAATCTTTTTTGCCTTCTGAAAAGTCAGAGTAAAAAGAATGTAGATAGAAAACATATGCACATTTTTGCATAAAAGGACAATGGAAAATGAATTGAGCAGAGCAATTTGCACAAATCATTTTTATCATTAGGCCATCTCCAGGCACTAAGCCTGCATGAGGCAGAGGAAAAAGAAAATTACCCTTGAATCTTTTAGTATCTATTCCTATTTTTGCCATTGCGGATGGAATGACTGTGACGAAATGACCTGCTCTCACCTTTACCCAGATTATACTTCCTCCCTCCAATTCTGAAACATATTTCTGCAATTAAAATCTGTAATAACCTTTTTACAACTCGCCAGCATTCTTACTTTTTTTTTTTCCTTTCTTTTTTCTCTTCTGAACAAGACTGGCTGTTGGTGTTTTAAAATGCCACGAGTTAATTTACCCCACTGCTCCTTATTTTACCAGTATCAGCTCATCTAAACTGCCAGCACTGAGAAACAGAATGAAGAAAGCAATGAAAACATACTCCAACTATGACAGTTCCACTGCTGTGAAGCAAGGATACACATTATCTATTGTCAGACAATTTAATTTCTGTAAAACCACTTCAAGGGATATTCATAACTGGCTTCAAAATTCTCCAGTTTGCAAAGGAAGCCAATGTGCATCATGACTCTTGACAATAAAGTGCAAAGCTGGGATGTCAGGGTAGAGTTTGCATCTCAAACACTTAATTCGACAGTAGGTAAGAAGCTCCTTATATTACACCATTTACACTACTAATGAGCACACACAGAAATGAAAGTGCACACTTTTAAATAAATGGTTTTTCCCACCAGTATCCCAAGAACTCAGCTTTAGCCATAAAGATTGTATGGCACATTTTTCACATCAAGCTATAAAACATCAGATATCTGTAAAATTAAAATATAGAAGCTTACCACATCTTTATGCATGACACTGAGAAATAATTGATGGTGTTGCAGAATATTTGAACAGCTAAGATTATTTCTCATCATTACACCACTATACGTGGGAAGAAAAATTACACAGGTAGTACTCTAATCTGTCAAGATTTCCCAGGACTGATGATAGCAGACAACACACACCTCTCATCACCAAGCTGGCAGCTGACAGAAGTGATGTAGACTACAAGAGGCAATCGGTTTGATAGTTATTTACATGTCACCTTGTTTTATAATGAAAACCTATTCCAGAAAATGTTAATGCTTAACACAAACATGCTGAGCATTCTTAACTGCATAAGGTTTACCTGCAACTGAAATAGAGATGCATCATTGACTCAAGTGCACAGGAGTTGTGCTGAAATAGGAAAATCTTGTGTTTATTTTTTTGAACCAGATCCTGAAGTTAGGATGTTTTTAATGAGTAATCTGAGACTAAGAAAATATCTAGATTGAAAATCAGTCACAGTTACCATAATTTACTTACAGCAAATTCATTTTCAGGGTCAACGGATCCTTTCCTGACTGGTCTTGAATAGTGGAACCGCTGCACATTGTTTGACTTATAAAAACTGAAAAATTAAAAAAAGACTCTTGTAAGAGACTTCAGAAATGTATGATCTTGTTATCACAGCAGAGTATTTAATTTTGAGTCAGCTGAGTTTTTAATTAAAAGCTATTGCTCATTAAAAAAGCCACATTGCTGAAAACTCAAGAAAAATCTATTTTATCTATAAATCAGGGTAAACACAGTATTCTATAGGTGTTTAGCTTGGGTGTAATTTCCAGGTATAAAAATTCAAGAATTTCTAGATTAATGTTAAAAGCTGCAGAAGGTCTAGAAAGGATTTGTGCTTTCCTGTATTCTTCCATGCACATTGCTTGCCTGTTTTGTAATGGCATGCAAAGCAGAATCTTTTCTTTAAAATAACTGACTGAACAAAATCTTGACTGCAGTACCAATGGAAACCTTTTAGCAACCATATCTTTTGTACTTGACAAGAGAAGGCACAAGATTGTGTTGTGCAAGAGCCTCCAACTCAACCATTCCCAGACTGTCAGTCATCTCCAAGACCCCTCTCTCCAGCACATGTCTAAATAGACATATTGAAAACTCAGTAACTTGGACCCAAAGCACAGATTCTACCTCCCTACCCTGCAACAAAATGCTACTCCTTATGGGATAGATGGGTAGATGTTCTTTCATGAAATTGCAAGGGAATCCATAAATCAGAAAACTAAGACCAAAAAAAAACATTTCATGGGCAAATTACTGAATTCTCAAAATAATGGCTGTCAGTTTAGGAATACAGACCAACTTTCATTATGTTATCCATTTACTTACTTGATAATTTGATCAGGTACTGCCTTATTTTTGAACCTAGGTTGCTCCTCCAAGACTGGTTGAACTGTAAAACACTGGATGTCTGAAATCATGAAGGTTAAGGGCATGTTATTAACTACCAGTAGGAAATACTGCAGGCTGCAGAGGAAATGAAAAGAATAATTAAAAAGATATTTCCTGTTGAAAAATCTGCAGGGTACAGGGTTTCTGTGTAGAGCTTTCTTGGCAAGCTGACAGTAGTAGCCAGTGAATTTATAGAAATATTAATTTTGAATCGTATATTTTTATTATTTACTGAGCTTGTCACTAGCTGATTTAGAACACTGGATCATTCATCAAATATTAAGGCTCAGCCAACTTATAAAAATAACATCAATAACATCTTATGTTAACAGTTTCACTATTTAGCTTTAGTCATGCATGTCATAATATTGAAAATTTAATCTTAGAAATCTGTAACTGAGAACTGAGCAGTTCTTTTACTTAAGATTTCCTTTTTCTGTGGAAGTGTTATTTTTTTTTTTTTTTTAATCTGAACACTGTATTTGTACATAAATATATTTCTACATATTTCAGGATGTTTGAAACTCATGGTCTCTGGTTAGACTTGGTAGGTTTTTCTTAAGTGAACAAGTAGTGCATATCTCCTGCTAGTTACAAATAGTCTTGAGCAAATTCTGCTTTCAGAAAGGACTGAAGCATGTGATCTCAAATAAAATAAAATTAGTTAAGACATAAGACAAACTTAAGAGAGCTTGGCTCTCAAACTCTAAATATATTTCTACATATTTCAGGATGTTTGAAACTCATGGTCTCTGGTTAGACTTGGTAGGTTTTTCTTAAGTGAACAAGTAGTGCATATCTCCTGCTAGTTACAAATAGTCTTGAGCAAATTCTGCTTTCAGAAAGGACTGAAGCATGTGATCTCAAATAAAATAAAATTAGTTAAGACATAAGACAAACTTAAGAGAGCTTGGCTCTCAAACTCAGTGTTAGACAAGCCTGTAATACTCTCTTCTTCAGTACCAACAGTATGAAAAGCAATCAGTATTCCCTTTCTCCTCCAGCAGGTTCCATCAGAACAGACTCAAGAGAGCAACTGAAGTGTTACAACAGTACTTGAAAATTAATAAAGGAAATTCAATATGTGAAAATACATGTCTGATACAATGAGGTGATCTCATAGCTGCTCAGTGTGCTCAGTAAATATTTCAATCAGAACACGAAGAAGATACCATATGCAAGCAACTGCTAGAGTACTTCTAAACAAGAATAATGTAGGGCATTCTAAAATTAATAATGATTATGAATTAATTTTCCTATGAAAATTCCTGAGAACAAGATAAGGCATTTTACATTGCCAAGAAACACGGGTGATACCCAGGTGCAGTGCCACTCAGAAAACTGTTCAAGGAAGATACAAATTTAGTATCAAAACAGCTAGAACTGTGAGGTAATAGACAACTTGCTGCTTTGAATCTGGTCAGTTCAGGTGTTCATCACTGGTTTTGCTACTTGAAGAAAATAGAAATAAACCAAGTATGAACTTGAATGCATTTTCTTCAGCTAAATGGCTCTCAAGCACTGGAACTGAGCTGAGTCACCATTCCTGGAGGTATTGAAAAGATGTGTAGGTGTGGTGCCTGGGGACATGGCTTAGTGGTGGACTAGATTTATGGATGAACTCAATCTTAAGGGTGTTTTCCAACCTAAATGATTCTATGGTGAGAGACGCTTAACAGAAGCAAATATCTTGGTAACAAACCATAAGAGACATGAAGGACACAAGTAAATGTGCAGACTGAGCTGCCACATTACTAAACTTTCATCCTTCTAAGGAAATGCTTGTTCCACACAGATAAACTTTTGCTGCAAAGTTTCCCCAACCCGCCTGTGTTCTGTAGACTCCCAGCTGTTCAAGGATACATTGACCAGGAGAGTTTTTCACATCCTCTCCAGGTGCTGAGGTGGTGTTCATCTTCTCTGCACCGGGAAACTGACTCATCAGCTGTGCCTGGAAATCCTCTCTCCTCTCATATTCCTTCCCCCGATAGATGAATACTTTGTTCTACAAGGAATAAACAGCTGATTTCTTAGGCTGTATGATGCTGATGTGAAAGTTATAGATGCATGTTTATCAGTACCAAGACACAACAGGGTCTTCAAAATTTGGAATGAGTGTTACTGTTTCCTGACTATAAAGCAAGACACCATTTTGACCTGGTGCTGGAATGCATCACTGGCTCTCCAGGACCCTATTTTTGCTGTTGGATACAATTAAGTTAAACTGGCATCACCACTGAGAGTGCTCTTGTTAAGTAGAATAAAATTAGAATAGAGATAAGTAAAGTACTGAAATTACTTTTCTTCTTGTCAAGTAAAGGGATTTGCTTTCAAATACATTCTAGGTCCAGGTTTCACAGCTTTCTAATGCCAATATACAGGTTTCATCTGCCTGGTCCTTCTCCTTGGTACTATGAAATGTCCTAATTTGCAATACATTCTAACCCCAAATGTGTTTCTTTGTGGTTTAGTTTGCTTAATTTAGCAGAATACTTCTAGAATGCCAGAAACAAAAGGTTCATGCTTCCTTTGGTGTAATATTAGCATATTATTTCATTATCTTTCCAATGTTTTCAAGGCAACTTAGGGCTTTTGGCAACTTTTGGGCGAGGTCTTTACTTGCTTTACAAGTCTGAAGAAAGCTACAATCAAACTAAGGGAATCAACTTAAGCACATGCATATTCTTGCAAGAAACAATTCAGATTTTGACTACAGTCCTGTATCTAAGCAAAACTAAATCCACAGCAAATATCCCCAGAGACTCATTTGCCTTGCTAGAAAACACTTTAGAACTATATGAAAATAGACGGAAAAAAGTAAGAATTTAGACAGGTTTACCCTTAGGAATGTGGGGAATCCTTGGCCATAATACCCAACAGCAAAGTAATCTGGTTTAGGTCTCAGAATTTTCATGATATTTTCGTAGAACTTAGCTTGTTGGATCTGAAAGCAAAAACAATTGCAATTACTTGTTTGCGAGTTGTTGTTTTTTCTGTTTATTTTTTTAAGCTTTACAGTAGTACTGTGCTAAGTACTACAGATATTAGTGGACATGCAAGAGCTAGTTGTTATCAGCTGGTAAGCTACAGCAATAATCAGGCAGCATGCACATGACACTTGTGGTATATTGATTATTGTTTACATTAATATGCAAATACAACATAGATAAATGCCTTCAAATTGCACTAACCCAGAACATGTCTGTCTCTTCTATGTAAGTTTCAAAATACCTCACTAAGCAGATGCCCACACAACTTGAACAGTTCTTTATGAATCATTACCATGGGAATGTTAGAATCCAACATAGCAACTTCTGATAAATTAAAAAACAACTGTAGACAACAAGTTTATAAACAGCTCTTATCATTTGATACCTCAAAAGTAATTATTTCTGTGACTGAAATTATTTGAAGATCAGTATATATTCTTACCAGGTTTTGACTAAGAAGTTCATAGTCAAAAACTTCTTTTTCATACTGCTCAGCAAGTTCTTTGCATAAAGAGATGGCTTCTTCCCACATCTGCAACGTAACCACCAATTCAAAAAGTAAATCCAGTACCAGTTTTTAATATATCATTGTTTAACTAGAGTTTTATTGATTATGTTCTTTTACTTGCAGTCATTTGTTAACTGCACTTTTAAAAGACTCAAGGTGATTATAAACTTTAGGAAAGCAACTAACATAAAAAACAAGTGTTTTGTGGTTCATTATAGGAAGGAATAAGTAAACCTACTTTACTCTTACAACAAGCTAATAAAAACCCATCACCTTATCTTGCAAACACATTAAGAAAGAAAAGTAAATCACTAAGGTGTGTAACATCCAGAATATATCTCGAGCATAGGTGCAGTGTGTGTGAGGACTGACACCTGCCCCTCTAAAACAAGCACACTTCATTGTACAAGCCATTCTGAAGCACACACAATCATAGCTGGCCTTCTGTGTGACAACTCTCCTTGTCAGCTAAACAATGACAAGGCTCAAACTTCAACTGCCACTTGCCTGGAGTAGCAGCTTGTTTCTTTCCACACAACTAAACAGCTACCTCTGAAAACTACTGTGAGGATGACAGAGCTGCATTGGAAACACTAGGACAGTTTTTCTCATCTGCTAAAGGCACTTAATGTACACAGCACATAAGTGATCTTAAAGCAGAGAGAAATTTCCTCTCGAGGATTGTTCTCTAATTCTGCCAGTCTTCTTACCTATTCTGAATAAAGGAGACAAAAGGGGTTTTCTGAGCATCATTCACTACTAACCTAAGGACACTGCTGGTCATACTCATTATGACCATTTTTACATGGTGCCATGTACTACTAGGCTGGGTAGTTCTGAATTTGGCAGCTGCATTCAGCTGCCTGCAAACCTCCTCTGATGCAGCTGAGGAGAACTTGAGTGCTAGGCAGATCAGAAATCTGGAGGATTTGATTATTGTGGTATAGGGGGTGGGGACTGCTACACAGTAGTCATTTCAAATGCCAAAAAAAAACCTGAGGAGTTACAAATGGCACTGCATTTCCTGCTCAGTGCAGAGGCACTGAAAACTTTCCACCTTCTGAATTACAAGAGAGATTTTCATGGGGGACTTCTGCCTTTATTTTGCAAGAAGCAGTAACAAATTGCCTTCTCCCTTCATACTTTTGGCTACAGCTGAAGAAGACATAATGACTTAGAGGCCTTATAGGGTGATAAGATTAATTATCCAGCACTGCAGAACTTTTCCCTATCTTCTAGTCCTTTGCTTTATTTTCAAAAAACCCAGCTCAACTGTCATTGTATTGACAGGCAATTTTATTAACAGATTTAGAAAAGAAAAAAAAAAAAAAAAAAAAGCTGAACTAAACTCAGGTATTGAATATCAAACTAATACATTAAGCTTGGGATGTACTCCTAAGACTTCTCTGTAACAAGTATTTCCATTGGAACTGTCTGTTTTTTTGGGAAATATTGACAGAATGGTTTAGAAATGCAATTTTTGTACTATGTATTCTTTTCCTAGAAAAATACATGCAACATTGCTTATTGTTTTGCCACTACCTGACCGAGATGCTTGTGACCAGCATAAACATTAGCCCTCTGCATTGTGTATGTGGTTAGTGAAAGAACATGTTCATACAGACCAGAATTCCTCTGTGAATAAGCCTTCAGGACATAATTTTTACCTGATCCACACTTCAAAGAGGATTTCCTACTCAAAACACTTTTCATGGAGCATATTCCTTAAATGTGTCCATGCAAAGTTTCAGGAAAAAAAGAGATTTGGCAGGGGGAAGAACTCTACAGACCTACCTTTCCTTTGTCAAAGTATTCTATGATCTTCTCATACAAATTCTCCTTCAACTGTCTATAGGTCTGTGAACACTGGAACTCTGTTGACATGACTTGGGGTACACATTGTTCATCTGACCACTGAGAACAAAAGCACATGAAAAAAAAAGCAGGATTTTGGAATTACACATCTCATACACATGTACCTGCTCCCCAAGATCTGGTCCTCCAGGCTTTTCTAAATGTCTGTTTCCCAGTCCTGTTTACCCTTCCACAAAGAATCTGGGAAGGGCACTAGGAATGTCCTCATTACCCCTTCAAACAAGTGTTGTATTTTGTGTTATAACCAGGACTAGACATAATAAACACTTATGTTCCTTCCTGCACTTCACACAAAAAAATTTGCATTAAATCTATGTGAGAAAATGAGTTAATTTTATTTCAGTGGTGTCATCTTGGCTGATTTGTTTTTGGTTTTTGTAGTAAAACATTTGCATATAATACACTCTTTGTCTATAACAATACAATCTACCTCATTTTTTATAGGACCAGAAAAGTCAAAATGAAGCTGAATCAAAATAGCACTCTGAAGTGCCAGATTTATGTGGTCCTTCACTGAAATAAAATTATTAAGAAATTTCAAATTTTGGCCGAAGAATATTTAAATGTTGAATTTTCCCTTGAAATGGAATTGTATCTTCCTGACCATTTCTAGTGAAAAATCAGTTACAATAAGAAAAAACATTAGTTGCAGTGAAAAATAGTTACCAGCTACAAAAGGATGCAAGCATAATTTGGCAGAGTGATCCATATTATTTAAAAGGAAAGGTTAGATGTGCCCCTGTCATAGCTGGAAAAATTGTGTTTCATTTTCATCATTATGTTGGGGATAGTAAGAAATTAGCAAAATGAAAACCACATGGATTTTAAATGGCTTCAGGATTTCCACACAATATTTTCACTATAAAGTAAAATTATTTTTGCTGTAATATTTAGTTTTACCAATATGTGGCTTTTAACCACTTATTAAAAATACAATTTCAACAGCCAGTGTTGTATGACCTACCATGGTAGGGGTATTAAAGTTTCTAGTTTTTTTTTGAAAACAATTAATATGCAGTAAAAACAGTGATTAAGACAGTAACTTTTTAAATTATAAGTTTGGAAATTGCAAAAGCTTATTTAGATACTGAGTTTAGAAAAACTAACCTTCAAGAGCCACGTGTGGAGCAGCAGGGTATATGCTGCTTCTGTGTAATTCTCACAGTCTAAGTGAAGATCTCGTAGTTTATACAAATATCTGTTAGAGGAGAGAACAAGAATTAGACTAAATACTGACATGACTAGAATGCTAAGTGTCAAAAAAGTTCAGAGATGCTGTGCAGTCTCTACCCAAGGAGTCTTTAAGGATACCCTGAGAGGGATTAAAGCTCTCTGCATGTGTTCAGGCTTCCCTGTGCTCACCTTGTATGCCCAAACATTGTGGACAAAAGGAGGAGAAAACTGATCTCCTGGTGTGTTGCTGCCTGAACCACCTCTAATGGGAATAACTACCAGACTCAGACTTGCTAGTCCATCACTTCTGCATTGGTACTAGAGATAGCTGCCTTGCTCTGGAACACTTTTCAATTGCACATAAACTCTTTCTATGTAAATAGGTGCAAGCACGAGTAACAAAAGGAAAAAGGAGAAAATAGAACACACCAGCCCAGTAAGACAGCCTAGCAGGGGCAGCAGAGCTGTTCTAGGTTACTTTTCCAGTGTTCTCCTTCATCCCTAAGGCAGCACCACTGCCACCAGCACAACCATGGCCCATCATGTGACTTGAGATGCATCTTTGCCAGCAGCCAGAAACAAAAAGCACATCCCACCCTCTGACACAACAGGCAGTTTGACACAGGGACTCTGACACCTGGCTGTAGCAATTTAAGGTGTTACCATTCCCAGCTGTCAACCCAACTGAAAATGTGCCCCCTCAGCAATGCCAGGAGCCACTCCAGCCCAAGGCCCCCAGGCTGAGCTCTGAACCACCTTCGGTGCTGATTTCAGTTGAGACTCCAGGCTTGGTGCTGCAGGGGCTGAGGTGCAGGTGGTTCTGCAGATTTTGCAGGAGAGGAGAGGCAGACAGTAGTGAGCTCCTGAACAGCAAGGTTTGCTGCAGCTCATATGCAAAACCATCAGAGACAGCAAGAGGCCAGCTGCTATTGCAAAGAATTTGCCAGCATAATTACAGCCCTTGCAGAGAAATGCTTCACTGGTAACTGCAGTGCATCTAGTGTTGCATATTTAAAAGGACTTGGCAGACTGCACAGTTCTGCAAAACCTGAATGTTTTTTCTGCCACTCTCAATGTATGATACACCCTCCCTCAAACCTGTAATCTAGCTGCATTTTCTTTACTTAAACCAATAGACAATGAATGTTGAGGGATTTGATCAAATGAAAGTTGATTCTTGGGGAGAAAAGTGCTGTTGATGAATACATGTGATAGATTCCAAATTGCTGAAGGCTAAGCAAACAGTGGAGTAAGAATATAAATGAGGCTATGACAGAGTCATTGTGGATAGCAAAATAACATTAAGTAACAGAAATGCACTATGAATTATATTATACTTAATATATAGAAGTACTATGATAAAAACAGAATTCCTAAGAGAACATTATTGCCCTCTCCAGAACAAATCCAAGAGAAAAATTGCCATACCTAATGTACATTTCTTCACGATTGATGTCCTTGTAGAAATTCTAGGGACAAAAACATTTAAAAGTTATCTCCTAATGACTTTTATTAAAATACAATATAATATATATGCCAAGGTTTCACTTCTCTTGCAAGTCAGTGTAAGAAAAAATAAGTAGAGACTATTCAAAGTTTAAACCTGGCACTACTGTTTTGATTTAAATTTTAAATAGCTATTAATTATTATTATTCATATGTGTATACTTCTCCTAGTTCATATAGACAGAAAAACTTCTTGTTTCAAAATTTAAATTACTACTGAGTAAAGTCAACCACTCCTGTCCCCAGGAAGGTTTACTTTCATCTTTAGTAAATGGATTCTAAGGCTCTTCCCTGTTCTTAGAAGAATGACAAGAGAGAACACACCAGCAGGTTCACGGTGCAGCTCATGCGGTTGTCCTTGCTTTCATCATTCATCACCGCTCGGTAATCCAGCAGCTTCTCCAAGAGGCCTTTAACCAGGCTGACAAAATTTTCAACCAAGTTAAAAATGCCAGGGTACTGACAAGCACACTCCCTAAGACTGCAAACACAAACCAGAAGTTATTACAATACTGTGAAAAGCATCAGCTGAAAAAACTGTTTGGACCTGAAGGCGAACACTGAATTAGGGTTAAAGCAACTGCAGAATACACTGGAAATTCCCTTTGTGGGTTAGCAATTGAGATATCCAGAAGACAGATGGCAACATAAATCAAAAGGGAATAATGAAACATTTACTTTTCCTATCTGAAAATGACATCAGATTCAAGGGTACAGCCACAATTTCAGAATGGAGCAACCTGCATCTGTGGTATAGCAAACTAAGCACTCTGGAATGCCACACTTGCACCTTCCTTTTCTACGTTATTGTACAACATCAAATGCAACAATTATTTCCTTCTCTTTGTACAGCTACATGTAAAAAGAAAGCTCAAACAAATTACATTTTTTAAGTCAAAAAGGACATAAATGAACCAGACCTCACCAGAGCTATTTGCCATTGAGAAGTAAGCAAAACTATAAAGTGCTGAACTAAGTTAGAAATAGGCATTTCACATGAGAGAATCATAGCTTTGTTTTCAAAGCTTGAAGTTTAAACATTATAAAATTATTACCAGCATCCCATTAAGGATTATTTTCTTTGCTAAAGCACGTTTCCTCTCCTTAGCATTCTGCTTTTCCATTGGGATCCTCTCTGACCTACTGTGTTGTATCTATATTAAAACTTCTGTGCACACAAACACATATTTAAACATGAATTTATTGGGTCTGGCTGAGATGGAGTTAATTTCCCCACAGCAGCTGTCTTGGGGCTGTGCTCTGTGTGGGTAGCTAGCAAGGTGCTAGCGAGGTGCTGCTGACACAACAGGGCTCTGGCTGCTGCTGGGCAGAGCTGGCACAGCACTGAGGACAATTGTCCTGCATCACCCTCACCCCCAAGGGCCAGTAGGCTGGGGCTGAGCAGGACCTGGGGAGGGGATCCAGTTACTTCCTGGATCAGCCAGGAAAGCTGATGCAAAGTGACCAAAGGGATGTTCCATACCATAGGACCTCTGCTCAGCTAAGAAAAAGGAAGAGGAGCAGGGCGTGTTTGTTATTACAGCATTTGTACCTCAGTACTGTGTGTACTGAGGCTCCACTTCCCTGGAAGTGGGCTGGACATGACCTGCTGATGGGAAGAAGAGAATAAAGCTTTTGCTTTCCTTTCCCCTTCCATGCATGGCTCTTTGCTTTATTAAACTGCTCTTTTCTTCACTCATGAGTTATTTTCCACCTCAATTTCTTTGCCCCATCCTACTGAGGAGGGGGAAGGATAGAGTGGCTTGGTGAGCACCTGGTACCCAGCCAAGGCCAATCCATCAAAAAGCACAAAGTAATTACATGTATATTTGGCATATTCTATTAACAACATCCAAAAATTACCATGTATTCTCACAGGAAAATAGTAAAAACAAACTAGCAATTGCAAAATTACCCCTGAAACTGTGCTGTGTCCTTAAGCTGAGCAATTTCAATGACACATTATTCTTAATTTATGATCTCTTAGAGTTTCATTAGCATTTCTCAATTTATATGCAAATATATTTAATAATTTATTATTAATATTTAAGTACACCAATCTTTTTTAAACTTTCATTATAAAGTATTACATTTTAATTAATTGCAAAAACAATTTTGTACTCCTCAAAATTATTTAAAACTTCTCCAGAAAATAGATACTCATATTAATATCAACTGCAAGGAAATCCTTGAAGCTCTGGCCTAAAATGGGACCTCAGCAAAGTACCCAGTCTCAAATTTCTAACTCAAAGCACAAACAGCACCTAGTGTTTATTACTCCCATTGTACAGCTCCACAAGGGAGTTATTTTGCTAAGACAGAGGAAGCATGTACATACACCTCTGAAAAAATATTTCTGTTGCACAAGATGTGTCAGACAGAAGCTAAGAGGTAGAAGCAGAATACTTTATTTGCTGTTGTCTGACTAGTCTGAAACTAACAAAAATACTTATATCATTGAAACCTGGCTTATGAAATTAAACATATCGCAAATGGAATGTTAAATACTAAGGAGTCTGAAGAGCTGAGAACCAGCAGAAAAGGCTAGAACACATTCAATTGTATTGGTTGTGAAGAAAGTAAGAAAGCCTCATTAATCATATACAAGACAGGATACTCTACCAGAAAAATTGGGGTATTTTACCCTAAGTATCAAAACACAGTAAGATGCTACCAAAGAAGAGCAGAGTCATTATTTAAGGGACGGTTATGCATTTTTGTCATAGGCTCACTTGAGTGACAGCAAACAAGCTCTGAATATTGCACCTGACTGTGAAATGACCATGACTCACCAAAGCATCTCATTTCTTTCCAATACAAATAGAAAAATGACCGTAAACCACAAGCTATTGCTAGATCTCACCCAGGATATAGAAGATCACTCCAGTCACTAAAGAAAGATGACCTGGAGTACACATAGAGAACTACAAAATGAACAGGGGAGAGGAACACTTGTCTCATGAGGAAATCATTAATTGTCTTTATACAATAAATAAAAAGGACCCATGAAACTTCAGAAGTTTTGTTCAAACAAGACAAGCAAACAATGCTACCCAGCTCAGAAAAAGTAAACCTCAAAGCCTCACATATAATCTCTGAAGGAAGCTTTTCTCTTTGTGTTGTTAAAGTTTCAGTTCAAATACTCTCAAGCTTCAAGGGAATGTAGTATTTAAAATAGATGTAGACAGTTTGGGAATGTCATGAAAACATTCCATAGGATAAACTGAAATATTGTGGTTGTTTATGCTAAAGAGTAGACCAAAGGAAACTTGACAGCAACTTTCAAATTTGTTTAAAGCTGCTGCAAAGAGAAACAGAATAAATTACTATGTCCCCTGTGAGTAAAACAAGAAATAACTGGCTTAAACTGAGACAGGGAAGATGTACTATGGATATTTGGAAAAAAAAGCTTACTAGCAGCGAGGCAAGTTTAGCACTGCAATAAATGTCCACTGTGCCAGCTGAATCCCCAGTGTTAGAGGTGATGAATTGCAGCGACAGTTGAGGCAGGCAGGCTGGTTCAGGCTCTGCAGCAGAGTGATCAAGAGAACTCTGTGATTGCAGAGCTGTTCTCAGTCATACCAAGAGCAAGTCTGAACAGCTCTACTCCCTCTCTTACCTATCCTGGGACCCAAAACCCAACAAGTAAGCATTCAAAATTGAAAAACTAAATTATTGCACTCAGTTTATATCCTTATTGCATGTTAAGAAGATAACATTTAAGTTGTTTTATTTAAGTTATAGTTCTTTGAGATTTCAGTATTCAATTAGAAAATAATTATGTATTATTTACATGAGATAACACATATATAACTATTTCATCATGTCATTTCCACAAAAAGTAGGTTTGTTTTTTTTTCCACTGGGGAATACACAGAGATTTCATGCTTCATCTGGTGAGAGACATGACTGCAAACACTACTGCTGCTCGAAAATACACTACATACAGTGTAGCAGGCTTTGAGAAGGTAAAAACATACACACTCCTTGTCACAAAGCCTGTACCGCTTTTGTCGAGTTGCCAAAATGCTAGAGTATTTTGCAACTTAGTAACTATCAGGTCACCAATGCTTGACAAAGTGTGTGGTGAGTGATGCACTTTCTTGCTGTTACAGTGTCAAGCACAAAGTTCAGAAGAAGTCCTCAGAGCCAGGCATGAGTGTTCCACCACTGCCCAGCAACCACCAATGAAGACACAGCTTTTCAGTCTGAGAATAAAACTGAATGTGGGCAGCCAAGAAGAGGAGGAGATGCTGTATCAGGCTTTGGAATTGTTAGAAACACAGAAATATTTTTATTAAACTGTAGCACTTCACAATATTCTCATTCCAGAAGTCACATTATGTGACTTACCTTGGAGTACAACCTAGACTTTGAGAAAAGCAAGTAAGGTGTTTTGAAATACCTTCTTCTTATTAATGTGGAATAGGACTAACAGAGGCTCTAAAGAAAAAATGGAGAAAGACTGAAAAAAATGGGGTTTTCATTATCTTGGCTCGAAAGTTGGACAGAGAAACACAGGATAGGTGTAATTTCTCCATAACTTACAACCAAAATTCTGAAAAGAAACTAGGAAAATAGTTTCAAAGAGCAAAACTCCAGTTCAAAGCATGTTTACTGAACCAGTATGTTATTTTCAGTTCTATCATAAAAAAAGAAAAAAAAAAAAAGAAGCTGTTAAGATAGTATTTTATTTTCAAGAGAGACTACCTGCTTGAGAAGTGGGAACAAAGATAAAAACACATCCTGAAAGCATTTGTTCCCATGAGGTACTTACATGGATTCAAACAACTGCACGTAGTGCTCATCCCCCCGTCCTCCTTCCACTTCATGGTCCAGCTTCAAAATTATTTCATTTTCAAACTAATAAAGAAAGAAAAATCAAAGCATTGAACAGATATCCAGAGTTCAAACACATTTCAATATGATATCTAAAGAATATCTTTGTATTATTGTATCACATACTCTGAAGGGTTAAAAGCTTGAATATTCCACCCATAATGTTCCCAGAGAAAATTAAATTGTTCAGTAGAAACAGCAATCTCCATTTTATAATGTGAGTAGAAGGAAAGGACTAGTATATCAGTATTATTTCTTAATTTTACTAGAAGTGTCAAGTAAGTGGGAAATTTTATATTTTATATAATATTTTATATATTCTGTATATATAGCATTATATATATATTATATATATAGAGAGAGAGAAAAACAGAAACAAAATTACTCTGGCTGTTCCAAGCTGAAAAAGAAGTTTAAAGGGCTTAGAATTAGTTCCCATGTGTAAGTATAATGTGGATTAATGTCTAAATGTGTATCAGTAACATTAGTAACACAGGTACCCAGCAGTTTCAGGACAAGGCAGTATTGAGCAAAAACATCCAATCCAGTCATTTTCTAGAGCTGAAGCCTATGGTCTTTGTGCAGTATGACAGAAATCTGTACCAGTTAAAAATCATGTACCTCTTAAATCCTTTATAGTACTTATTCAGCAGTTATAGAACTGATTACTTCTCTGAGAAGCAATAATTTCCCAGATGCTGGACCTGAACAAAAAACCTCTTCCTAAGCATCTTTCCTACAGTTTCTCAACAAGCTGTGAAAAAAAGCCAGTTACTTCAGCTGAAATAAATAAGAAAGCTGGCAGAAATACTGAAAAAAGTTTTTGTGTGTCTGTGGCAAAGTCAAGCCCTGGAGAAGGTATTTCTCCTCTGACTTAAACAGAATGTGCCTCATTGTCACTGGCACAAATTTGGCTTTAAAACCACCTCCTTATCTACCTAAGAGGCCCCAGAAGTCTCCCCATCTCTGAACACACTTCAGTAACAACCCACAAAACATCTCCATTTTTTCTACATGGTCTGAAGCACCAAGCCACACAAACCTGGTTTCTGCTAATGGGATGATCTCTCTACTTCCTGAAATCCTGAAGCATAACAGAATTTTAAGAACTGAGAGTTAGAAATATGAGTATTTACAGCAAATGTAAACCACACACACCAGAAAGGCTTTCTGAGAAGATCTATATTCACTCATTTAGTAGCCTTGTAGAGTTATTAGCTCAGAAAGATACAAGACTCAAATAGACTCACCAAGAACAAACATCTATTCCCCAACCTTTCCAATAGCTATGGAAAGGAAGAACACACCATAGGTCAGTGCTATTTTCTGACACAGGAAAGAAGGCAAATACTGAAAACTTTCCCAGGTGCCTCCAGCAATTGGTGGAACCAACAAGAGACACTAAATTGAACACACCAAGCACAAACAAAATAACTTCTTGGAACAATAATATAAACACACATGAACTAAACTTTTCTAAGCCAAGTTAAATCCTTCATGTCACTTGCATCCATGTTTATTTCAATAATATCTTCATTTACTATGCAAAGAGTTAATTTTATTTTTTTGAAGTTTGGTTTGGTTTCTTTTTGGTTTTGGTTTTTATTTTTTTGTTCTGTTTCTGGGTTTTTTTCATTTTTTTTTTTGTTTGGTTGTTTTGGTTTTTTTTTTAGTTCTTTAAAGTAAGTCTTTTCTATCTTTTGGCCTTATATTATCAGAACAAATAGCACTAGGTTGCTTGATGATCTGTCTTTGGAAAATCTAAATAAAATGTACTACCTGATCTTTCAAGAAAAGATAGGTTATCAAAATGTGGAGGACAAGATTCTTTTCACACCATGTGTCCAACACGTAAGCAACCACCTTCCCTTTATATCAAAAGGAGACAGGGAAATATCTGCAGGATGAATTCTATTCACAGATGCTGAACATAAATTGCACTAATTGCCTTTCCAATATCCTTAGTTCTCTGAGCTCATGACAGAGCACTGATAGGTAAACTTAATAGATATTAATGGCTTCCTCTCTACATCTTCAATCACAGTTAAAATTACAAGTTTATATAACTTTTCTTCTTGTGAATAAAATGCCTTAGTATGCAATACTCCTATGTATGTATTCCTTTCCACAAAATATATATGTGTAAATACATAGACAAATATATTAGATATATATCTCAATACATATGCCATTCTTGAGGTAATCTGAGGTGAAATTTTGTGGTTTTTTCTGGGATTATTTTATTTTCTAGAAATAGCAAAATAAAATTCCTGCTTGATAAATTTTAACAGGTTTATATCCTTACTGCACATATATTCCATGTGCAAAGAGGGACCCAGCCTCTTGAGTTAGCCCCAATCTAACTTGTATGTCCACCCAGAATGGAGCACTGTCAAGCACCACAACAAGTTCACTAAATCAATCCTTTTTTGTCAAGTTTATTAAATCGTGCGGCAGGTACCAGACAAGCTCTAGTTTCAGAGCCTTCAGGCAAAATCTCTGACCCCTATTCTAGCACCTTCTTGTTATCACTGTGACAAAAGCTTTGCTTAAGCCCAACTCTGGAGACTCTACACTCACTCTCACAAGAGCCTTTCCTTTTGCTTTCGATATTTTGAATTTTACTTCCTGTAAGCAGAAACGCCTACACAACAAATATTTATGAGAAATAAACTGATTACATGGTATCTTCAGAAATTTTCACACAAAATATTTTAAATTACCTTTTTGAATTCTCCTGTTCTTTGATATTCACAAAGCATCATGTCAAAAAAAATTGGGATTGTAGCCTTCCGTAGCTCAACTTCTGGAATAAGAGTCATTTCCAAGATAGGCCCAACCATCCCCGGAATAAAGCAAATTTTATTCTGGCCTGAAACAGAAATGCAAACCATCTGTATTCTAAAGTCTGACAATTTAGTCACTCATCTCTATTCCCTCTCAAAAGCATGCTAATGGATATAGTCTCATTCAAAAATCACTCCGTGCCAGAAATAATCATGTGTATCAGGTGAGTAGACATTTTCAGTGAACATCCCAGTTTTTCAGCTTTTGATATCTCCTTTTATATACTTGGAGTAAGAAACCTAAGTAGCCCCAGATTCTCTCAGGAGGAGTGTGCCACATGGTAATGCTCATGGTGAAACCTTTCTAGTTTATGAAGGAGGAAAACACTGCTTGTTTTCATTTCTGAATAACATCAAACACTGCAACCAGTAACTCAAGTGAACCAATGCATCAAACACTCACAAGAAATAACAGAAACACTTTCCACACAATTCCTAAAACCACACAAAATTATCTTGCAGCACAACTGTTACACCAGCTGCCCATGAAAACTCCAATCAGCAAAAATCTCAACCAGGTCCAAGATGTTCTTCAAACACTGCTTGTTTCTGGGGAAAGAAAAGTAAGTGATGCATAGAGCAGACCATCATCGAGATGAAATGACCCATATAAGAATGTCAATACTCCCTAAAGCTTGTAAGGAGATAAAATATTCTCATGAACAAGTATGACTAGACTTAGACCATAACTAAAAAATAATCTGATTCTAATTGTCCTCTCACAAGCATGTCACACTAATGTAACTCTAAACACAACTGAACTATGACTTCAACAGTTTTATGCAAGTTTGTTTTGTTGGGGTTTTTTATGCTGTGTATTTCTGCTGTGAATGTATCTCCCAAATCTGTTTTACACTTAATATGTTCCACTGCTTTTCAGAATGCAGATTCTTTTTTGTTATAGCTACAGAAGGAGCCTGAAAATTACAGAAAATGAATGGAAAGGGCATTTATAATTACTTGAGAATTATTGCATGTTAGTATGAAACATTTCTCCATCTGTATGCCTCACTTTTTCCATTGGGTATGTGAGACAATAGTATTTCAACAAAGTGATAATGCATTTGAATATCAGAAAACAATCCTTTGCTCTTCAATATTATGCTAGACAAAACTGTTAAAGGCCACTGTATGTTTATAAAGCCACTGTGTTGGCTCTTTTTGAAGAGGGACTGTCAGGTTCAGCACAAGTAGGATGCAAGCATCAAATGTCAAATCCACACAAGTTTATTTTACAAAACAAATGTTAATGGTTTTAGAATCAAGAGTTCATATAGAAATAATTATTTGGAAATTTACACTACCAGTATCAAAAAGGATGATGATATTAATCTAGGATATTAATGACTAGGCTGGAAACAGGTTTAAGAGTTCACCACTTAATCAGAAGAAGTATCAAATCCTTTGAAATCTTGACAATCTTTTTGATAAATCAGAGTTCACTGAGCCTGCTAATTTCCAGAATGGTAGATTTACACTGAGCAGTGACTGTCTTAGGAAAAATTTATTGGGTTCTCAATTTCAGCAAAATATGGTTTCAGCCATCTTTGAATTCTGAGAGAGGGCTGTGAGCTCTCAGAAATAACAAATAAAAGGCAGTCAAACAATATCTCATGTCAGTTCCAAGATTAAGCACGAGAGTAAAAACATATTTTAAGTTCAAATAATAGAAATATTTATTTTTTTAAAAAAAAAGTCAGATATTTTTCAATGAAACAAGCAAGATGCTATGAATCCAGTTGCAATCGAGTTCATTTGCCTACTTACCAAGTTTGTACCACATGTCACGGATAGCAAAGCCAATTAAACGTCTCATATCTCCGTATCTAGAAGGAAAAAAAAAGAAATGGGAAAGGCATTTTTATCGTTATCCTTATCAGCATTTTACTACAAAATTACAGACAAAGCAAAGTACAAAGTCTTGCTTACTTGTTCTGGATTTTGTTGTATTTTGCATGGGAAAAGTTTTCTAGCTGCAGTGAATCTTGGGTAATAAATGCCACAGCCAAATGAAAATAGTTGTTCCACAGCTGTAAATTAAATACAAGGAAATTATAATAGTTTTGAGAAATGCAGGAATAATATTAAACTATGTATAATGCTGAATAATTTATTAAACTAAATGATGCAACCAATATGAGATTTTTACATTATGCACTGATGTGCATTATTAGCATTATGCAATTAGCAGAAAAGTAAGAAAGATTAATTTTAATAACCACTCCTGCACATTTACTCTTAAGAACACAGCAGCTGAACAAATATTGCTAAAGAAAAGATTCATATGAGATTCATTAGCTAACAAAATTAAACCATGAACCACAGCAGGACCGGTGAATTACACTTCATGTCAGCAAATCTCTACAACATGGAGGTAAAGGCACCCAATGTAATTACACTGTATTTGAGAACTACTTCAAAAAGCTTTTTCTGTCTTCTGAATTAAAAAAAATAATAATTTCAGATTGTAAATATAAATGTTTCAACTTTTTTCTTGAAAAATTATGTCAAAAGCAAACTCATCCCCTTGAGACCAGGAGACAAATACATTTCAGATAGATACTGGGTTCATTACTTTGATTTTGTAGAAAAACGGCACTTAAAAACTTCCTGCATGTATGGTTAATTGCAAACTCCATGTAGTTACTATAGTTACAGCTTTAAACCACTCGTGTTTTAAATAAATTACTTAATTGGATCAGTAACAGCTACTGAAACTCAGTCACAAAGATAGCACACACGATCGCATAATAAAGTCTTAAGACTCCATACCAACATTCATAAAGGTTATTCTGCATTGTCTTTTAGAATATCACTCTAGAAAAATACAAATTGCAAAACAGAGTAATTAGCAGAATATGAAAACTAAAATGCAGGTTAATCTAGCAATTGAAAACATTAAAGACTGAGTAAAAGAAGCACTGCATTTTGTCTAAGTGGATTCTGAAATATAATTTTCAGAGGTACAGCTCATTCATAAATTCTGCAAGTTACAAACAGAATATTTAGTGTTTGTTCCTGTGGCATAGAGAGTGGCCCATGACAGCTGCAGTGGTTTCTTTGACATGTAGAGAGAATATTAAGCATCTCAAAGTAAAGAAAGAATTATCAAAATATTTTAGAACCTCTGCTGAAATTTCTTTTCATTGGTTACACACCTCAAAAGGACAGAACAAAGGTAGAAAACTTGCAGTTTAACGAAAATAAGTTTACAGAAGCTTTGAAGAAACAGCACATTTTATTCATTTCTAGTCTTTGAAGATTTTAATGCAACAGTTCCAGTCCCTATTTAGTTTTGTCATATGCTTCTTGTTTAATGATGCAACTTAAAAAAATATTTGCAAACTATTTCTGCTCCAGACATCTACCATTCCTATGTGTGTATATATCCCAAACCTTTGAAATAAGGCACTCTGAAATACACTAAAAATTAGTTTCATGTAGGCAAAATCTTCCAAAATTGATATCCTGTGAATTTCTTTCCTTTCTGAGCAATGAGTCTGAAGTCTAAAGAAATTTTCAGTTGAACTTAAAAAAATCAATTACTCAGCAAAGGTCACAAGACCCAGGTATTTGTTGGTAAAAGGACCAAAGATGAACTCTACAGTTTGATAGCTTTCAAATGTACAATATTATGTCAATCACTACCACATACGGATTTGCACAATCTAGCCTGTATCTTTCCCATGTATTTCTAGTACAGTGAAGCTTTTGATTTTGGCATTTCTAACCAAAGGTTTAAAAATAAAGTTGCACAACTCTATGATACTAAAATATATTCATTACTTCTCAGTTATCAATGGTGTCTAGTGCATACAAGAAAGATAGGGAAAAGATGAAACATAAGCATTTTCTTTTAAATCAGACTGACAGGGAATGTGCACTATGCCTTTTATAATAAAATTCTGTGGCAGGAATATAAATGATTAATATGAAGTTAAAACTGCTGTAACAGTACAGATTTAGAAATATAATCCTTTCTAATGCCCTGCAAAACTGCAGCTAACAGAGAGGAAGGGTAGGCAGGAACGGGAATCAATAGCACTCTGTTTTCCAAAATAGAAACCCTATGATAGCTATGCCTGATCACCATAAAATGGTTTCTCTTTGTTCAGTCCTCCCTGTCCCTAATATGCCATCTTCAATCAGAAACCTTATAAGTGGGATGTTGCACAAAAAAAGTAATTTCAAGGAATTAAGTGGCATTATGGCGGCAATGGATGTTGACGTGGACGTGCTCAGTAGCTGAATGGAAATACTGAGCAGAGCAAGGCTCCCAAAGCCAAAGCTGGTGGAACCACAAGTTGAGAGTGACAATAGAGTAAAAACTCTCTTCTCTTAGACACTTCTTACCTTAGGGAAAGGGAACACCTAGCTAATGACATCAGCTACTAACAGAACCCAAAAAAAATCATATCAAATCTAAACAGATTCTATAAAGGTAGCAGTGCACATTGGAAAATGCAAGTGAAATTTTGAAGTGAATCTTTCAGCACTGTTCTCTTCATTTTTCCTTTTATAGAAGACTGGCTAGTATTTCATAAAATTAAGAGCAACAAACCATATGTATACTTCTCAGATATTAGTATCTAATTAACAGATTAGAAATTTGTAATTGGGAAGCATTTTTAAACTTAAACCACTTAATCTTAACTGCAGTTAATATGAAGAGTGAAATGGGTTGATTTTTCATACTATACTTTTTTAGTGTGTTTTCTATCTACAGTACATGCCATAATGAGCAGCATTAAGTGACAAATCCTAATTCTAGAACAGCATTTATATTTTAATCACAGTTTAATGAAAGTGAAAACTACATTTTCCTTTTTTTCTGAAGCCAAATATATGGTAAAATGCATGACCAAAAAGATATGAAAAACATTATTGAGCAAGCTATAAAGACCACAGACAACCCTAATTTTAAATTATTTCAGAAATATCAGCTAAAAAATTAGAGATAATAATGAAATAAAGATAGACTTCTCAGGGAAGACTGCAAGTTAAAAATAAAAATAAATGGTAAGTGCTAAATATTCTAGGAACCCAAGAAAGTTAAGCTCTTCTTGCCCTACATAAATAGGAGTGACACTGTACAGGCTACGTGCATTACATCCCAGATTGCCATTCTTAATACACTTGGCTGGCTAAGGAAAAAAAATGAGGTTTTTTGCTTGGCAGTTTTGAGAGACTCACAGTACAAAATCCTCTGTTTGGGTGCCTTATCATAAATTATCAAAGTACGATTTTCATGTCATGTCAAAGATGGCCTAGTCCTGCCACACTCAAAAAGTACCAGCAGAGGCTCTGACACACCACAATCTTACCTGCAAATGCTACCTCAGCTCAGCTAAAAAGTCAAAATACTTACTTGGACCTCAAAATTCATATTCTCCAGAAACTTCTGGTTCATTGTCTCTGCAAATTTGTTGATGGCTCTCAAGAACACCCTAAAAAATAAATTAAAAAGTAATGATACAGAGGAATGTAATATCTGGGAATCTATTCCAACCACATGTGCTATTGATGGAAACTCATTTAGCCACTGAAGACGTTAGAAGAAGCAAAGTTCCCACATACATGAAACGAGAGATGGCATGCTGGGCAGTGCATGGTATTTCTAGTCTGCTATAGATTAAAAAGAAATGAAGAATTATTAAGAATTTGTTCTCTCTTTTGAAAAATTCAGACAACACCATTTCTTTTCCTCTGCTGCAGGCTGCATCAAATTCTTGACAAAACAGAGAGCAATTCTTTCAAACACAGTTTTACTTTTATGTGACAAACCCAAATAATTTACAACAGTGTTATTGCCCCCTCCCCACGGGTTTAACAGCTGAAAGAATTCCTATTCTAATAATATTTCTTAAAAGCTGCCACTATTTCCCCAACCTAAAGCAGCTTTTCAGTTTTCTCACAGGTGGTGAGGGAAGATGACATTGCTGCCCATCTTCCTCTTCAAGTTGATTATAAAAACACATTCAGAGCTTAATATAATTATTTCTTCCAAGAGTGTGAACATCATCCCTCTAGCTTGAAAAGTAACACCTACTTCTGCTAGTTAGTAATGCAGTGAGATTAAGTCACATTTATAAAACTAATTTCTTTCTCTAACTTCCCAGCACAGTACGTTTGTAAAACAAAACAAAACAAAAACAACGACTCTCTAAATATTTGTAAACTGTTTTTAAATTGGTCAGCTTCATCCAATTTACAATTTTGAAAATGAATGATCCATTTTCCTCTTCTTCATTGATAAATTTTTTTAAAAGTTGAAATATTTCCGTGGGAAACACTGTGAGGGCAAACACACTGAAACCTGAAAGAGCATAGTATTATCTGGGACACTGGAAGGTAAGGGACTGATAAAGGTGTTGCTCTGCTGCATCACCCACACATTCGAATGAGCTCCTTCCAATGAACTCCAGACTAATCTGATCTTACCTTCTAACACTACCTCAGCTAATCTCGCCAGCCGTTAGGGTCTGATCTGTGAAATTCTGAGTGTCATCAAATCAATTCAAGTTCAAGACATCTGATTTGCTCAAGACTGTTCTTCAGGTGATCCTCAGTCTCCTAATCAACCCCTGTATAATCACTGCAGAGCAATTTTAGCCTGTGTTGAACAGGCTACTGTGAACAGGCTACTGGACTTTCTTTTCAGCCTTTTATGAGAGCAACTCTTATTCTGGAAAATGCTATTTGCTCTGCAAGATGCTCCACACTGCCCACAAAAAAATTTTCTTCCCTAACACTTCACCCTCATGGGTACATTTGTTTCTACAGAAGTGCCTGATGCTTGACAATAACAATGTAATATTTAGGGAAAAAAAAAAAGAAAAGAAAAAAGAAAAAGAAATCCCACCCATTATTCTTTGTCAGCGTCCCCATTACTCTTCAGAGTAGGTGTTTTGGGTCAAGGCCTTTTTAGCATCACATCTTTTCTGCAGGACTATACACATTGCCCTAGATTCTCCTTTCACTTACAAAGTATATTTCTGCCAACTCATGTAATCAAGTTCTTCAGCTCCAGCTGCTCAGGGAGAAGCATTTCCCTTCATCACTCAGAACATCTTTTGTTGGGGTAGGAGGGACTGTCCTCCATTTATAACTTTCCCAAGTACTGTGTATTTACACACTACTGTAGCAACTGGGGTGAAACACATCACCTAAATATCCTGTTTGAGCAGGATCTGGTATGGTATTAATAATTTGTCTTGCATTAAAAAAATACTGCCACTTTTAGGTACTTTGTCTTTCAGCACAGAACTATCACACAAGGTACGTAACTTGAACACACATGAAATGTATCAGTGCAAATCTATTTCAGAATATGGGCATATTTCGTGTGGGTGAATTTTAAACCACAAGCTCTTAGCAAAGATTTTATGTTTGCTGTATGTGAAAAGCTCAAGGACACTTGAAAAATACTGAGGTACTCAATGTTCTGTAAGAATTTCTGATAATATTAAAAATATTTACAGGATTTTAGACAATATAATTATGTGTAAGCTATTTTCCATGATCATCCCTTTCATTCTCACTGATATTTTTTATTTGCCATACTGGGATGACATGTTTGTAAGAAGCATGTAATACTTGCAAGCTGTCAAGTTCCAAACATTTTCATGCATTTGTATTTTGCCTAAAGGGTGTATCTATTTCTGTCATTGGAAGTCACTTATGTAGTAGGTTTGCATGCTATTCCTGGCTCCTGCCAATGCCATGCTGTCCTATCTCAATGATTTCATTTCTATATTCCTTCAGTCTCCTCTCTCACCAAAAAATGATATAAATTAACTAGCCACAAGTATGAAGCTAAACAGATATTTATAAAACATTGAGATTTTGATGAAAGCAAAATAAAATACAATTTTCATTACTAGTGACAGCATATTTCTAGTTAAAGAACTAAATATTGATCCAAGAGGAGAGAGTTAAAGTAATTTGATTGGAGAAGTCATCATTCCTTACATGATTCTTTATAACTGATGTTATAACTGTCAATTATAACTGACATAAAGGAGAAGATAGAGCTAGAAAAGAGATGGTAAAAAAGTGTGTCCTAGACCAGCTCAGAAAAACACAATATGTACTGTCTGACTTGAGACATTACTGAGAAAAATTGCAGAAAGGAGTTTTCTTGTCACAATGTAGTGTAACTTAATTTTCCTTTGTTCTAAAAGAGATTTTTTTTTTTTTTTTCCCTCTGAACTTTGGGATTCCTGATCGGTTTTGCTTTGCATGTTTAGACTGAGCCAGACTGACCCAAGCACAGGATCTGGATTTCTTGTACAGATAATGTCCTTAAGCGTTGTTTTTTGTTTGTTTGGGTTGTTTTTTTTTTTCTGTTTAACATTGTCCTTTTGTCACATTTTCCCTAAATTTTAAGAATCATACAGGGCTACAAGTGTGTTCTTTCATATGTCTGCATATGGTAACATTTTTGCAGTTACTTTCAAATTTTACCTCAAAAGAAGGCTGAAAATTTTAAGTCATTAAGATAAAAATTCTCTCATATGAAATAAAATAAAGGGTCTGAGATGGAGCAAAGACATAATTTTGCATTCATAAACAACATGTGATCACAGTAGAATTTCAAAGCTGTTCCTTAGATGATGATTACTCTCTTCAACAGTAAAATAAGTCTGAACATTATCCTTGCTTTTGAAGTGCAAATAGGCGATAAAACTAAAATATAGATTTGAAACTCCAAGTTATTTTTATCAAACAATTTAGAATTAGTGCATCAGCTCTTTGCAGCATAGAACAGAGATGATCACAGTTAAAATAACCTCCAAAATCAAACAAACTGAAACCAGCAACAAAAAATCCCCACTGAAACTGGCATTGCCTGTTCTTATGTGGCTGTACAAAAGCTGCCCTTTTTCTGCATCTAGTTTCAGACATCAAAAACTTCAGACTACACAAAAGTATTTTGGAAAAGTGCCTAGATCAGGTACAGGCTGAAAAATCTTCCCAAAATTCTGAATTGCTCTTTCCTCAGACTTTTAAACATGAATTCTTCTACAATAGTGGTCCAACAGCAGTTCTTCAGTGTCTTCTCAAATTCACAGAACTCTGTAATTTGGGAGTTAGCTGCCTCAACATTTAGATGAGTAATCCAGGTACTGAGGTGAAGGCTAAATTAATTCACTTAATTATTCATGAGTACCAATTCCAAATCATATTTGCTGTGTCTTCTCCAGCTGCAATTACGTTGATGAATTACAGGTGGAAAAAATAATGTACAAACTTCTACTGGATAATCAGACACAGAAAAACAGAGATAAGCTTTAAAAGAATATGTTTGTGTTGCTGTGAAAGCTCTTACTGAATAAACCATTAAGGTGCTGGAATACAGGGGGGTTTTTTAAATCACATCTAAAAATCAATGAAGACATGGAAAGTTCTTAAAACTCGCAACTTCTCACAAACCCTAAGTGCTTTTGGAGTTATTTAGCCTGGAGAAGAGAAGGCTCTGGGGAAACCATATAGCAGCCTTCCAGGATCTGAAGGGCCTACAGGATACCTGGGGAGGGACTGTTGACAAGGACAGGGAGTGAGAGGACAAGGGTTAAAACTGGATTAAAACTGGAGGAGGAGGGAAGATTTAAGTTAGACAATAGGAAGAAATTCTTCACCATGAGGGTAGGAAGGTGCTGGAATAAATTGCCTAGAGAGAGTGTAGATACCCCATCCCTCAAAGTGTTCAAGGCCAGGTTGGATTAGGCTTGTGCAGCCTGGTCTGGTAAAAGGTGTTACAGCTCATAGTAGGGAGGTTGGAACCTGATCATCTTTAAGGTCCCTTTCAACCTTAACCATTCTATGATTCTATGAAGGAAGTTTTTTTTGTGATCCCCAAAGGCTGATCAATCAGCACTTTCACCAGCAAATCCTCCACTTGCACAGGTGAGGAATTAGAGGGCAGCAAATTCAAAGCCTGGGAGATGCTTTGACTCGCTTTAAAGACCTTTTCTGAGTTCTGATGGACATGGTCTTGCTGGTATGACAATTATGATAATCTGGAATATGAAACAACAGAGCTGAAATGATATGCACACATCATTTACATTGACTCGATAGCATCACCCTCATAAAATGCTTTGCTGAAGACATCTGATAGGTATTGTTAACACGAAACTCACCATGAGGGTAGGAAGGTGCTGGAATAAATTGCCTAGAGAGAGTGTAGATACCCCATCCCTCAAAGTGTTCAAGGCCAGGTTGGATTAGGCTTGTGCAGCCTGGTCTGGTAAAAGGTGTTACAGCTCATAGTAGGGAGGTTGGAACCTGATCATCTTTAAGGTCCCTTTCAACCTTAACCATTCTATGATTCTATGAAGGAAGTTTTTTTTGTGATCCCCAAAGGCTGATCAATCAGCACTTTCACCAGCAAATCCTCCACTTGCACAGGTGAGGAATTAGAGGGCAGCAAATTCAAAGCCTG